GTCCGCCATCTAGCTTTCTTGACGCTACTGTTGTCAAGTGTGGAGGGCGGCCAATCCTCTGCTGCAGATGGACCTGATGCCTTGCCATATGAGCAGTGATGTGGACACCCAAAGAAGAACTCCGCCAGATGTAAACAAAGGAAGTGAGAAGACTCAAGAGTGTTGTGCGTCTGTCTTTAGGTAAGAAAAAGTGCACAAGAGCCAGGTTTTTTTTCCACAAGAGTGCTTCGCAAAGGATGGAGGACTTTAAATTTCCTTTTGTGGTATTTTTAATTTTATTTAACTTTAACTTTTCTTTACTCATTGGAGATGGCAGGTGACATTAGGGCTCTATTAGACCCCTAGTGTCACCTTTCCACTTCAATAGCTTTAGCTAGGGAATGACAGTTGCTTGCTGACGCAGCTAAATGTCAAGTAGCAGGCAGTGGCTGGAAGCAATTGGTTATTTCAAATTGCAATAGCCGGCTGGCTATTGGACCCGCCCACTACCTGCTGTCAATCAGCAGAGGAGGGATCTAAAGGAAAAAGTTCTCCTTCAGGTCCTCCTCTGCTGATTGGCAGCAGACAGGTGCATTAGCCAGCCTGCTGTTGGCTTATTGCGATTTGAAATAGCCAATTGCAGGCTAGCTATTGCTGCCGGCTGCCGAAATTGAGACCTATCGCGGCCAGCAGCGAGGGCAGGGGCAGAGGCGGGAGAGGGTTGTGTGTGCGGCACGGGGAAATGCAGACTGTCAGCGGTCTCTCCTCCTTGCAGGCTGTAATCGGCTACAGCAGCATGTATCCTCTCTGACACAGACCGCTTCAGCCGATTACAGACTGTGAAGAGAGAACGCTGACAGTCTGAGTCTGCAGCGGGGGTGGGGGGGAGAACGGCAGTGTTATTGTGGCAGCGGTGGGAGAAAAAAAGAGGTGCAGTGAATGAGCTGCAGAGGTGCAGTGAATGGGCTGATTTCTTAAAATCTCTGCTCAAGTCAATAATGGGATTACAGCTTAGAAACATCTGCTGTACGTTTACATTAGAGGGCTGACAGTCTGAAAAGATTCTGTTCTCATTAAAAAACAATTGCCTGCGTTGAGAGTTTTGAAAATGAATTTCACCATAATGCCTACAGATTCTGGGGTGAGTGAGGGCTAATTTCAAAGGCATTTACTGCTTATTCAGGAAATGTAGATACTTTAGTGGGGAGGTAGGCAACCTCGGCACTCCAGCTGTTCCAGGCCTCTGGGAGTCATGTCTGCGGCAGTCAGAGGCATTATAGGATTTGTAGTTTCATCACAGCTGGAGTTCCAAGGTTTCTTACCCCTGCTCTAGTGTGTATAGTCTGGGCACTGATTCAATTTAAGATCCACGAAAGCTTTGCAATATGAAGCCCTCCCAGAACAACCCATTCATCAATATCCAGTCAAGAAGGCTCCTTCACTACCCAGTTGCTGGGATATCTAAAGAACATTGTACAATCGGACTGAATCCCGTCCGGTCAGCTTTACAAAACATTGTTCAGCATACAGAAACGTTTAAGCCCCATTCACACCAAATTCACATGCAAGGGCAATGAAAAATGAATTGGTGTGAATGGAACAGTTCACACCGCTGCGTTGCAATGCTGTTTGTTGTAGAGCATTCTCTATGTTTTTCAGTGTAATGCAATAAAATCGCGTGCTGACGCAAAGTAACGCATCGCCTGTCCACTCTGGACATGTCACTTCACATAATGCTTGACCAAAAAAGAAAAAAAGCCTAAAAATCATAAAGGCAACGCAACAGATTGCACAGAAATCAGAAGGTACAATCACAAGGTAACGGACCCTCTGTAGCGTTGTTGCGATTACCTTGTGATTTAGGTGAGAATGGGGCCTTAAAGTGTAATCCTACTTTCCAGTCAAATTTGAGAACCACCCCGCCCCCAAACACACACTGTATGTTTGTTTGGCGTTCTTATGAACAAAAAATACCTAAAATTATTAAAAACATATTTCTTACCTTTCTAGTTGTTTCTCAGGATGACATACCGGACACTATAGGCAGCTTCAATTGTTTAGAATAGTTTCTGATGTACAATTAGGGGACAGGCTGAGGGACAGTGTTTATTCAAAGGGCATTAACATACAATGGGAGGAATTAATCAAACCTGGAGCAGACAGAATCTGGAGCAGTTGTCCATGGCAACCAATCAGCTTCTCTCTTTCATTTTCAAAGCCTAACTGAACAAACTGAAGAGAGAAGCTGATTGGTTACCAGGGGCAAATGCTCCATTTTGATAAAATTCCCCTCATTGTACCACCCAAGCCTTGAGATCTTTAACCCTAACTGATAATGAAGATCTACCAGCACAGTACAGACAGGGTTCGTTATGGTAAACCTAATCCCAAGCCCCTCTCCCTCCCTTACATAGAAGGGAAAAGCTAGATAGGATTTTTAAGTCAAAACAGAAAGCAGCAATTTTTACATATTTTTTTTTTTTTTTTTTTAAAGTTAAGCTACGTAATTGGGAATGCATAAGAAATAGAACGCAGGCGTTATGCCAATTCTGCTGCAAAAATGCAAACTTCCAATGAACACTTTACAAACAAGTCACAGAGCTATTTGCTACTAGACGAAGCTGAGGAGCATAGTAAAAAAATTATTTATTTCCATCTAGTGGCCGTAATGCAGTAATACATTACACTCAACCTGAAAAGAAAATACACTAAGAACGTTCGTTTTTGCCTCACTTCACACAGAATGAACATTCACAGAGATTCACAGGGTGAATGGCTCTGCAAATTGACCCCTAAATAACCCAGATAATACAGTTTTGTTGCTATTATGCATTTTACCCAACCATAAAAGGGCAGATTGGCATTAGTAACCTGGCATAAAAACTAGGGATGCACCGATATATCGGCCGAAAATGGCACTTTTGGCTAAATGCTGAAAGTGCCATTTTCCTGCTGATGCAGCGGCGCACACCTGCTTTCTTTCCTCCCCGCTGGGCGCTGCTCTGTGTCCCAGCTGGAAGGAGAGAAAGTGACAGCAGACCGAGCGCTGCGGGAGGAGAGCGCTGTGAGCAGTCGGCGTCTCTCCTCCCACACCGCTCAGCCTCCTATCACAGTCCGGCAGAGCGGTGTGTGGGCGGAGACAGCGCTGTCACAGGAGGCTGAGTTCTCCTCCATGCCCCGCTCGCTCAGCCTCCTGTGACAGCTGTCAGAGACGAGTGCAAACACTTAGTGATCGCTGAGTGTTTGTAGATAATTGAGGACATAGTATGGTTACTATATCCTCAATTATGGGAAGTGATCTACATCACCTCCTGTTCATTCATGATTGTGGTTATAGTAAAACACACTGTGTTCTCATGTTATGAATGATCAGGAACACTTAGTATAGAGGATTCCTGTTCATTGATAACAGGGGCTGCAGAAAACGAGATTAAGGACCTTGTGTCTTCAATCTCTTTTTCTATTTTAAAATGTAAATATCAGGGGTCTGTTTAGACCCCCAATATTTCCCCCAAAAGCCCCTTTGTAAAGTAAAGGAAAAAATATTTAATAAAAAATTAATATAAAAAATGTAAAAGATAATTAAAAAAGTATTTGAAAAAATTTAAATAAAAAATCATTTTCAGTTTCGGTCTGACTTTTTTACATTTCGGTTTCGTTTTTCAAATGTCCATTTCGGTGCACCTCTAAAAAAAAACCTGAAGATTTAAAAATATTGTAAGTATCTCTAATATGAACCTGTCATTGGTGGGTTTTACCCAAAGACAAGAAAACCAAAATAACGCCAATACAATAATGGTTGGAGAGAATCCTTAGAATTCGTCCCGAGTTGCTGACCAGAGACAAGCAAAGAGATCAGGAATTCTGACACTTTTACAGGACACTTGTGCCAGATCTTTGACTTTAAATGTATTGCAGCCAGGCAACTAGCATTTTCATGCAGCTGGCAATGGCAGCCCCATTCTTCTACTATGATGGACTCCATTGGACCCGTTTCCTTCCTCACTGAGGATCTGGTCGCCTATACAGTCCTGCTTTGCACAACTCTTATATCATCACTTCCATGACTGAGCACATCTTTGGCGCTATATCAGGGGTGGGCAAACCTGACTCCTCAACTGTTGTGTAACTACAAGTCCCATTAGGCATTGGAAGACTAACAACCACAGGCATGACTCTGAAAGGCATGATGGGCTTTGTAGCTTTACCACAGCTGGAATGCCAAGGATGCCTACCCTTGCCAGGTATCAACAGGTGCTGCTATGACACCCGGATACAAGGCTGTCTTATGCCGAGTTGTCCCTAACATATGCACCTGCCCAGCAAGTCCTGCGTTGCTGGGCACCACTTGGTCCTGGCCACCATCTTGCTCTCTTACATCACCAGAGAGAGCTGTGTCTTTCTGGTTCTAGCAGCCGACCATCGGGTGACACATATGTGCCCAGGAGCCAGATACAAGAACAAGAAAGACACAGCTGGACCCCTGATGACACAGCGCATGGACCCCAAAGCTTCCTGGGGTGCATGAGAGTATGGGGGACATCATTCTCGCCAAGGCGAAGAACCAGGATATGTGGGCCGGTTGTAAATGTGGAAAATGTTGGAAGGTGAGTGAAGGTTAGCTTTAATGCAAGGTGGGCACAAAGTGAGACATGACAGGAAGCAGCAGGGGGGGACTCCCGGAAGCAGCCCTAGTAAAAGTTGTTACCATCCTACATTCACATAGGGACACTAAGTAATCAATATACCAATTACTAGAATCATTTGTTTCCAAAGAACGTTCCATGGGACATTCACTAAGGACAGGTCCCCTTTAAGTTAATATGGGGTAGCAGTGTAAACAGGAAAATGACGAGCCACATAAATGAAGCGCAAGCTTGAGGCCACAAGACTCGTGCAGGCTCACTAGGCCGTACAAAGTCTCCAGCGGCCAGCCGCCAATGTTCGAGCTGTCCTGTACCTGCACTGCCCGGCTCAGGAAGGTGCCGGCATCGGCCGCCAGTTTCTTCACGTTGAAGTCCATGTTCGTCCTGCAAGCGGGAGGCGAAGAGGCAGCTGAGTCCAGGGAGGGACAAGCTCCGCCCACAGCTCGGCCTGTCACAAACTGGGCGGTGCGAAAAAGCACTCGTCACACAGCCGGGCCGGAAACTCACAAGAGACAGGAGCTGAAGCCGGAAGTAAATAGTGTCTGCAAAATGTGAGCGCCGCGGCCATTTTTTTGAAGATTGCCTTACTAAATTGTATATACTAAAATGACATTTTTGTGAAGATTGCCTTACTAAATTGTAAATACAAAAATGACTGCCAACTTGAGTATATGTACAATGTATGGCTGCTTGTTTTGAAGTGACTGCAATAATATCCCCCAGCATGGGTGTCAGTGACTGCGATAATATCCCCCAGTATCGGTGTCAGTGAATGTAACAATAACCCCCAGCATTGGTGTCAGTGAATGTAACAATAACCACCAGCATCGGTGTCGGTGACTGCAATGATAGCCCCCAGCATCGGTGTCAGTGACTGCAATGATAGTCCTTACATTGACCACCAACACCTGGTCAATTCATCTTCCTACTGACGACAAGGCATTTTTCCTCACTCTGACACTAAGGCATTTTCTCTTCTACCAACACCGGGACATTTTTATCTTCCACCAAAACAGGGGCATTTTTTACTTCCACCAATGCAAGGGTATTTTTTTCCCACCAAAACTAGGGCATTTTTCCTCTTACTGTCACCAATATATTTTTCCTCCCACTGACCCCAAACATTTTTTCTTCCTATTCACCACCAACCATGCTTCTTTAAGCCATGTCCAATAATTAGCACAATGTAGCCACACATACTTTTAGGCATGATACTAGGCATGTTTTGGACTAACCCATCTCTAACCTACACCAACTAAGCAGCAGTAATTCTGAATCCTTATAACTGCTCTAAATACAATCCTTTCAGTTACTTTGAATTACTTTCTCATCACCTTAAACTTTACATAAAAATATTTACAGTGCAAATCTGGGATTGGTTCATTTGGTCAGGTCTAGGTTTAGCAGCTTTAATGTCTCCAAAAAATCAGCTGCCTACCTGAATATACTGAATGATCAGGTTTTTCCATTAATGGATTTTTTCTCCCTGATGGCACATTGGGTATATTCGAAGATGATAATGCCAGGATTCATCAGACTCAAATTGTGAAAGAGTGGTTCAGGGAGCATAAGATATCATTTCACACATGGATTGGCCTCCCCAGAGTCCAGACCTTAACCCTAATGAGAATATTTGGGATGTGCTGGAGAAAACTTTACGCAGTGGTCCGACTCTCCCATCATCACTTTAAAATCTTGGTGACAAATGAATGCGACTCTGGATGGAAATAAATGTTGTGACATTGATTAAGCTTATTGAAATGATGCCACAGCGAATGCATGTTGTAATCAAAGCTAAAGGCAATCCAATTAAATATTAGTGTGTGACTTTTGTGTGTGTGTGTGTGTGTGTGTGTGTGTGTGTGTGTGTGTAAATATATCAGTAAAAGAAAACCAGACCAATCTTGTTTGTAATTGCCAATAAAGAAAAAGAGAGAACAAGAAAGATTGTTCTCTTGTACACAATTAAACACATACCAAAATATAAGTTAAAGCCTTAAGACTGCTTTGTGTTCGATATCCCAGTAGACTCATCTGCATTCTCACTTAGCCACATGAGTCTCAGCCAGCATTTTTGCAAACAGTGCTGGGATAGTGGCTATACATCCCAGAGCCGTTCTAAAATGGTGGCTGGTATAAGTGGCTTCTGCTTGCCTCTGAAAGCTGGGACCCAACGCTAAACCCGGGGTGTATACCCCATCTTCCTTTGTACACTTTCCTTTTCTACTATCTTCGTAGAACAGCACCTCTTTCCTTTCAGCAGTACTGGGGGATTCTCGCATACATCAATCATTAGACCATTAAGGCTCAAGTACCACATACTTCCCTGCTCTCCTCCCCAGTGTGGACGTCTAGCAGAATATGGTTGCTTGAATGGTGCACAAGCACAATGTGCTCTTCAGAAAACAGTTTACAAAATTTACTATGACAAATTGAAGCTATTTTAAGTGTAACCTAGTTGTCGTATACATACAAGGTACAACACTATTTTTAGATGTTTTCTATCTCAGTATATTACAGTAAAATAGCTTGCATAAACTAAAAGTCTCTAAAAAGGATCTTCTGACTGTTGGAAATACAACTTATACTAATGTAACCATGAGGTGTCTATTCACAAAAGGGTGAAGAGTTTGGAGAAGGCAGGAGAAGTGAACAATCTAGGACAACATAGCTGAACTGGAAAGTGAGCTGAATTGGAGAATGTTTCCAAATCGGCTATTTCGTCCTAGATTGTTCACTTCTCCTGCCTTCTCCAAACCCTTCACCCTTTAATGAATAGACCTGTATGTCTTTTGAGCACTAGGTGGTGCTGTAGTGCAGGTCTAGTCTATGCTGGTTTTTCTATGTGCATGCTTGTATCTATTATACACAGGAAGTTCTATCTGTATACACTGTATGTTTTTTCTATGTACTATGCTGTATTCCTGTATACATACATGTAATGTTTGCTAAGCAAGTAAAACTTAATTCAGCTTTCCTCAAGATCTCAGTGCTTCATCTAAACACATAACCAACAGGTTACAGACCCAGGCACTAAACAGAATACTGCAAATCAACCGGAACCACATCCAAGCTGCTGAAAGAAGGTGAGCAGTTCACATATGAAGTTTGCAATCGCAAAGCTTAACAATAGCAACTACCAGCTATGGAAGTTCAAGCTTGAAATGCTACTAAGCAAAGATAACTTGTGGCAAGTACTGAGTACAGAGCGCTAGTAATGGACCCACGGAGGAGTGGGGGGAAAAAGCATGCAAGCAAAAGCAATTATAAGTCTGCTAGTAGAAAATGACCAGCTCATCCACATAAGAAAAGAAAATACAGCTGAAGGTAGGTGGACAGAAACTGCATGAACATTCAAACCTAAACAGTAAACTATATCTGCTACACAAGCTATATAAGATGAGGCTAAAAAAAGGCCAGGGTATGCGTCAACATGTGAATGCCACGCTAGAAATCGTAGCTACGTGCAATTGGAGAGGAAATTAAAGATAACCACGTGGTGGCATTACTGCTATGAAGCCTTCAAGAGTCACACAATGCTCTTATTAACGCTCTAGAAACCAGACCTGAGCAGGAACTAACAATAAAATTAATCTATGGATATGACAGAAGGAAAGAAAATATGCACAATGAAGAAAATGAGAAAGCCACTAAGGTACATGAGAGCACAAAGCAAAACAAAGAAAGCAGAGCATGCTTTCGCTGTCAAAAGAAAAGTATTACTGCAGAAGGTAACGGTCAAGGATTCTTGAACTCCATCACACTGTCAGGGGACAAGCAGAGTATCCTCCTGAAAAATGTACTGTATGTTCTAGAACTAAAAGGAAGCCTTATATCAGTGAAAACCCTTGCTAATAATGGTCTCACAAGTCACATAGTTACATAGTATTTGAGGTTGAAAAAAGACATTAGTCTATCAAGTCCAACCTATAGGATCTTGTTCTTAGGAGTACTACTTGTACCCCTGTATATTACGGTCCCTTAAGAAATCGTCCAAAAGTTTATGCCTATCTGCTCCTTTCTCACCCTTTTACTATTAATATATTGGTAGAATTTTTGGGGGTTATTTTTACTATCTATGGCGATATGATTTTCGCACTCAGTTTTAGCTGCCCGGATTACTAGTTTGCATTTTTTGTTACATTCTTTGTAGTTAAGGAATGCCAATGCCATCCCCTCCGTCTTATATTTTACAAATGCCGCTCTTTTGTCCTTGACGTGTTGTTTTACAGTTTTATTTAGCCATATTGGTTTAGTCTGTGATCTTTTGCTTTTGTTCCCTAAAGGTATACACTTCGAAGTAGCAGTATGTAGTGTGTTTTTAAATCAATCCCACATCTGATCTGTGTTTAGGTTGTGAAATACGTTATCCCATTTTCCCCCACTAGGGTGCGCAGCTTATCAAAGTTGGCCCTTCTGAAGTTTAGGGTTCTAGTCCTTCCAGTACACTTCCCTTTTCTGTATTCGATAATAAAAGTAATCACATTGTGATCACTATTACCCAGTGACTCCCCAATTACAATATCCTCGATTAGCTCTGCATTATTAATTACAATTAGATCTAGGATGGCATTTTTTCTGGTCGGAATCTCCACCATCTGGTCCGTGAAATTGTCGCGCAACATGTTTAGAAATCGCCCTGCCTTCGCTGACCCGAAGTTCCATTGGCCCAATTGATGTCTGGGTAATTGAAGTCACCCATCACGACTACATTGCCCTCTCTCCCAGCTATTCCTATCTGGGAGTGAAGATTGAGTTCTCCCTATTCCCCTATATTTGGCGGTTTATAGCAAATACCTACGAGGAGTTTACGGCTAGTATCTGACACATCTAGCTCCAGCCATAAGGATTCCACGTCTTCCCCATTGTTTAACGAGATATCGTCCCTTATGTGCACATTTAGATTATTTTTTTTACGTAAATGCAAACCCCCCCCCCTTCTCCCCCCTCTGTCCCTCCTAAACAGGCTATACCCCTCTATATTAGTAGCCCAGTCATGTGTGCTGTCCAGCCATGTTTCCGCTATACCCAAGTCAATTCAGAGGTGATCAATGTACAATCCGAAACAATAAGCAAATCCTTGCAAAAGGAAACTTGGATGAACAGCTTTACAGACTTATCACCACAGACAAACAAGTCAAAATAGCCACTCATAATCCACACAACAAATGCATCCACCTATGGCACTGATGACTAGGGCACTGAAACCCAGAAGCCATGAAAGGATTTATAAAGAGAGGCTTATCAGAAGATATAACCGTACTGCTCTGCCCAATGCTCATGACATGCAAATGGTGTATGGAAGCAGGCCACTCAAAGAAAAACCACCCACCCCATGGAGCTCGTACACAGCGACGTGTGTGGACCAATAAAGACTCCCACATCAGATGGGAACAGATATCTACTGAATTTCATTAATGAAACAGCAACAACTTATCTGATGAAGTGCAAGAATGAAACTTCAGAAAAACTTTCAAGAGTTTGTAGCCATATCCAGCAATAAATTCCAACAGAAACCAGGAATTTTATGC